AGGGACGGGGGAGGGAGGAGACGTACAACAAGCAGGAACGAGGCATACGTGAGCTGACACGCGCTGATAACCCAGCTTGCCTCGCTCGCTGTAAGCGCAAAGTGCTCCTGCAGCGCAGGAATCGCGGCAAAAAGTGCGTTCAAGTTGAACGTGTCGAGGAACATCGCGAGGCAGAAGACAGCGAACAGGACAAGCCGTCGTGCGTCCGAGATGGCACCTTGCGGCGCAGATACAGAGGCGGGGAAACTCATCGCAAGATAGAGCCAAACAGATCGAACGTGAGGTGTTGTGGAAACTGCTCATTCGACCATACTACTGTTGAACGTCTTTTATACTCGCCGCGTTGTGGGGGTTGGTAAGCAATGTTCTGCACGCTGGGCGAGTTGTGGTATCGTATCACCGCTGTAGAGTGTTGCTCGCTGTATTGTGCTAGGCACTGAAGAGATGGTCGCGCATCTGCAGATGCCTTGGGTGTTCAGAGCCAGGGCGAAGTCTCATTGCCAAGGCCAAGAAGCAGGAGTTTGTTGGGGTTAGCAGATATGGCGGAGATAGCCCTTCTGTTCGAGAGCGCGGTTGGCTGGAGGAGTTGGTCCCACAAGCGTCCACAATGAGAAGCGCGCGAGACGTGCGCTGATAAAGCTCATGCTTGGGCAATGAGTACTTGAGTAAGCACTTGGCGAGACGAGAGGGGTTTCTGCTGTTAGGTGAGCTAGAGAGAGAGATTATGAACAAAAGGGAATAGCATAAAGAGCTGAAATAACAGTACTCACGGGTACTGCAAAGTCTTCCCAAAGCTGCAGCGGGAGATTCGAAGATTGACTCCAGGTTCGAGAGCAAACTCGCAAAAAGTAGTGATTGTCCAGCGATACCTATGAATGTTCAGACACAGCATCGCGATACACGCTTGTTTATCTCTGCTCCCTGGGGTGAAGGCCATAAATATTGGGGGCAGGGCTAGGTGTGTACATGTGCAGCATGCGTGTCGCCAACTCGCGAGTCGCAGACCCGCAAGGCGGGACCGGAGTTGGGGCATCACGTGATCACGTGAGCGCGCGAAGGAAAGCGGGGACGCCGGGGAGTCGGGGACTCGGGAGGCGCTTTCGACCTTCGTTCCGCTCCGCCTAAAGTCATTTGCGACATTTAGCGACCTCCGTCTCATAGCTATGCGAGACGTATAACATCACGGACGCTGGCAGCAGCTCACGGGAAGCACGGTTCAAGATTGATGCGCATACTGTATTGCCAGCGACATCGGCCGGCTCCGCAGAGGCATGACCGTACCCCGACGTCAAAGTCGCCCAGGCTGATACGACCACATGTTGCCAACAGATCAGACTCTCTAACCCCGCAATGAACTCTTTAGCAGTTTCTGATCTTCAAAGCCACTCCAACGCGCCGGACAGGCTGAACCGAAGTCACCTGTACGGTCGACTCCGGTTCTGCGACACCTCATACCCCTCCGCTCCCTCTCCATCCTTCACCCAGTCTTTCCCCGTCGTCTCCAACCCCCTTGAACTATCCGGATGGAGTAGCCTGACTCACGCCAAGGACGTGCGCGGCCTTGCTATGTACGGCATGCCTATATCCAGGAATGCTATGAAAGGGTTCATGGATCGGGTCGGTCGTCCGGGCACATGTAGGGGCAAAAGCTATGTCTGCTGAGGTCAATAGTGATGCTATACGAAAGGTGCGTTGCGTTGTCGTCATCGCTATTCACAGACGGTTTCATCGTAGCAAAGATAGGTCGCATCGTCCGAGAATGCCGCTCACCGATGCTAGAAGACCAGAGGGGCACCCCTTGCGTTCCCTCGATCCGCACTCCCGTCGATCCGACGTCACTTCTAAGTACGTACTTGCTCGCCTCTTCGTGTGCGGCGCACTGGGTGCTGATCGCGGCCGGCCAACGTAGTCTAGACGGTTAACTTCGCAAGTCGGTCCGGACGCGGCTCTGGTGCAAACTCCCCTCGATCGACAGCTCAGATCTCTGAGCCTATATCCTCTAATGACGACAGTTTACACCGGCTGTTGGGGCAGTCGCCGTTCACATCCGCTGCTAATCAGCGCACCTGGCTTCTGTGCACCGGAGATGACGATGCCATGGTCGCTATCGCCAAAACACCACAGAATGCCGCGCACCTGTCCTTCTTGCCTTATTCTTTTTCCGCACCGGCAATACCGGCTGCCATTCGTCCTGGTTGTGCCCCTTCTGTTGGCTAGCACCGCAGGCATCATGCCGTACGTACCAGTGGGACGTCATCATACGGTCCCATTGAACATCACCGCTGTGTCGTGGGGACACCTTGTCCTCCTTGTGGGTACGTCGGACGGCTGTGCTGTTACGGTATCGAGGCTGATTCTATAGATCAGACGCAAGTACGCATCACTCGGAGCTGGGATATCCGACAAAGTTTACGAACGCAAAAGCTCGCAGTATAATTTGCTCTGGCTCCTAATCTTCCCGAACACTGTCTGTGCGTACATTGTACCGTGGTTTCCGCAGCTCCATGCTGACTTTGGACCCTGTCTTGTTCGTCGACAATATAGTCCTGCAGCGGTCACAATGGAAAGAGGTCGGGAGGAGCAGGATCGAAAGGACGTTCATATAGGCTCAAGCTGTCAACGAGAGATGCTATCGCGGATGCTATAGCGCACGTCGCCACGAACACACACTTTCCGCCGACCTCTTACTGTCCATCGTTGAGCCGACCTCGAAGTACCTCAGCATGCAGCCTGTGCGCCACGGTCAAGCCGTACGCGACATAGATCTGCGGGATAAGAAGACACACTCTGAACTGTTATCGCTCTAGGACCCTTTTTGAACCCTCGCACGTCTGTCAAGTCCTCATATCCTGCTGAGCGAAGGCACGATCGGAGCCTCTTCAAAATCCCCGAATGGCCTTGGACACGATCTCCATAATTACGAAGAAGATGGAGAAATTGTTTTCGCGGGTGAGTCACTCCATGCGCAGTTCACTGGAAGATGTCGACCTGACAGCTTGTGTGCGCAGAGGGCAGGCTCATCCCGGAAGGCGAACGGACCCTATGCGGATGTCAGCTCTTCCGATTTGTTGCGCGCTATCGTCCACATAGTTTTGCGCGGTGCAATGGTCAATGCACTCTGGGCGTCGTATCACCTCGCGACTGGTGAGAAGTGCGGAGGAATGTGTCCCTGCACTGGGCCAGTCGGGTCAACTTGCTGGTGACAGGGAGCCTTTCGCTCTCCTTTGCACCCAGCGCACGTTCCGGTGTTGGGATATGTTTGTTGGCCGATGCGTTTTTCCATTGCTTCGCTGTCGCGGACGAATTGCCCGCGGGCGGCAGGGCCAGCTCAACGAGCCTCGGTAAGAGCACGCTGCTTCCGAAGATAGCCCAATCGCTGAGTCTCGGCCCAGCATCTGTCGACAGCCTCTGGAACCCTCCAGCATAGATTTTCTCGTCGCTTCTGCATGAAGGTCCAGAGCTCCCCTCGCAATCCGTCGTCCGAGCACGTATACGTCCGAGCCTCCGAGGACGGCGCCTCGCAAGAGCGCCCGCGTTTTCGCCCGCATCGGGACATTTCGGCGCAAGCTCCCTTCCGAAAAAAGCCACGGCAGCCTCCGAGATGCGCATCAGCATCCCAGTATGGAAGAGTACGTTCGCCCTCCGCGTCGCGAGCCCGTGCCTGCGGTTCTGCGTTTTGGCTGCTCCCCGTCGCCTCGCCGCGCCGTGTGTGCGTTGGCAATGGAGCGCAAATACGTGCTCTATTCCGATGCCTACTTGGCGTTTCCCGCTATCGTATAAGTAGCCCATCCTTCGCTGCCCCCGCCAATCCTCCGAATTAGACGACCCCGCTTTTCCGCTGGCGCATTTACCCGGGCCCACGTTTGCTGTGTTGAGCGTGTGTTTGCATGACCTACAGACCTCATGTTCCTCGTGGAGCTTGACATCTGTGGGTCCTACAGACGATTGCCCTGTGGGCATATATGGGAGCTTTTGATATGCTGAGATGCATGTGACACACGCGCTGTGAACAGCCCAGGTTAGCTCCCTGTCGCTTCAATAATACCCTCTTTATGTTTATTGATAGTAATTTTGTTATATGCAGGAGGTATCAACGATGGGCAGCGTTGTTGTCGTGGAAAGCTTTCGTGGCTTACGACTCCCCAAATCCCCTA